AGAATGAATTTGGTACATGTAATAGATCAGTGTGAAAGAACATCCATATCATTTTTCAGACAAGATTTGGAACATAATAAGGTAATAGACGTGAGTGGCATGTGGAAATGGATCCTTAATTTATAAAGTTCAGGAGACTTGAAACTGGTAAAGTATTCATGTGTATTTGTTTAGATATAATCCATTTTTTAATAAAAGTAAAATTAAGGGAAGTTTGGTCAATGTTGACTTTATTGAAGAGGGTAGAACTAATCTGAGTGTCTGTGAAACCCCATTTCAAGAAGGACAGTAGTTTTTGTCATATTGAGCCAAGCAGTGATATTCAGTGTAGACACAAGTTCAGAGCTCCCTAGAGGTTTTCTTTGAATTGTAACCTACCGTCTCCCCCTTTTTTTTCTAATTATCATAACTACAACAACCACCATGTCTCTTTCACTGTCATGAGATGAGCACAGATGCTTTAGGCTTGTGTCCTTTGGCCTCCGCTTGCATCATCAACCTGACAGATTCTCTGGATGCTCCTGATTGAAAAGCAACAGCAGTCAGGAAACTCCAGCTGTGTCTGAATTCAGAGGATACGGCCTACAAAGAAGGGTCCCTCAGAGGCCAGACTGAACCTGCTCCTCTTCTGCAAATGATTCACTCATTGGAATAGTAACCATTATGCACCTGTGCTTTGTTTCCCAGCTTTCAGTTTTTTATATATTGAAAGGCCTGATATAGTTGAGTGAACAAAGGGTTGTGAAGGCACCGGGTAGAAGTTAACAATATTTGAAGAAGTAAAAAAGATTGTAAGACGAAGAGCTATACAAACACATTTTAAATTGTAAATTAGCTCGGGTCGGCCATCATAATAAATAGACTTAGAAAAAGAAAGATTTTATCAGAGTACTTGTCAGCATTTCTCATCAAAACGGTCAATTACTTCAGACACCAAACCATCCTACAACATTTTTTACTCCCTTGGTTTTAAATATTGAATACGAACTCACTGGTTCTAAATAATGAATCTTAACAAGGCTAACAAGGTTTTTTACGGCAATTTACATATTCAAATTTCAATGTCAATGTTGTCAAATGTCAGTCCTTTCAAGCAGACCAAACTCCCCCTGTGAGTTTTTCTCTCAGAGACGGACTGCACCCTGTCAAAGAGGTGCTCTGCAACGCACACACACACACACACACACACACACACCACACACACACACACACACACACACACACACACACACACACACACACACACACACACCACACACACACACACACACACACACACACACACACACACACACACACACACACGCACCATGCACTCCCTCATCCCTAAATGTATTATGTACAATTAGCTGCTCAGTGAAGACCGCTGGCAGATAAAAATGAACACCAGAGCTAATTTCATTGTTTTCCTCTTTCTTCCCCCCCTTCACACAGGGTGGTCTCCCTGTAGAGTTTCTTTATTGTGTTACTATGAAGGCTGTAATTTCCACTAGTAAGAGACGGCTGTGCACATTGTCAGTTTTCATCAGCAATTATCTCAAACCTAAACACACACTGACCAGTTACAGCTGGTCGTGTTTTGTCTCCATCGCTAAGCTGGTTGCCAAGGTAGCTGCCAGGCAACAAGAGCAAAGCATCCTAAAAGTTACAGCGCCCTGTCAAGAAGTACAAAACCTCTTTTTGCATGCACAAACAGAGGATAAACAAACAGGATATGAGCTTTAGAGGGGCTGTTGGATAGAAGTCGTCAGCTGTGTGTGGATAGCTGGAACCAGGCTAGCTGTTTCTCCATTACCAGCCTTTAAGCTGAGCTAAGCTAACACCACAGATATCGATCTTTTCATTTGACTCTCGGCAAGAATGCAATACGCACATTTCCCTTAATGTTAAACCATTAAATAATACATCAACTAAACCTAACTAAAGTACATGTAAACATTCACATAGTTTGTATGCATCATCCAGTATCAATTCTGTCTCTTTCAGGTCAAGGTGACACTGTGTATTTGTATGGAAATCAGTGCAGAAACACTGATCTGCTCACTAGGCCTTGAGATCAACAACAACATTTCTAGGAACACAGGAGAGTGGAGCAGATTTATCCCCGGTCACACAGCCACACAGGCATGAGTAATGCACCCTCTTGTCATTGATGAGTTGTATTGATACACCCTTTATCTGTACCTAGCTAATGCTGGGTGTTCTTGATGATACAGTGTGTGCCGCTGCATCTCATCTTTTAAAATGGATAATGAAAGTTCCACTTGCAGTTTTACAGTTTGCATGTTTCCATTCCATCATGTCACAGCATAAGTATGGATGACACATAGGCCGTTTCTCAATGTCGAGTATACCTGCTGCAGAGCCACTATTTCAAGTATACTACGTCATCGAGTGGCGCAGAATGCTGGGCATTTAACATGCATTTAAACAGTCCTTAGGCGCCACTCGATGACGTAGAATACTTGAAATAGTGGCTCTGCAGCAGGTTTACTCGACATTGAGAAACGGCCATAGACAAGCTAAGAGCTATTCCTTGATTTTTAACTCAGAAGGATCTGCATTTAAATTGTTTCTAGTATTCTTGTTATCTTGTTTTACTTTGTACAGAAGATTTTACATTTAGGATGAACCCCAGTGACGCTTAAGACAATATTTTCTGAATCTCTCTCCACTGAATCACTCTATCTTAATGTGTGTGTGCCTGTAAGAGAGTAGGACCGAGACACAGATGTAGCCATGTGTTAGAAGGTGTTTATTTCTTTGCCTGGGGTCTTCACATGCTGTTTATCCACCAGTAAAGTTCCAAGCATGCTGATGGCTGACTGGAGGGATTCAGCTCCGGGTCTCTTCACCACCCGGGGGCAGTGGGGATGAGAAACAGACTGAAGCTGGGGTGTTATCAGGGCCGCCCCTGGCCAACTTGGGGCCCCAAGCGACATTGTGAGATGAGGCCCCCCCCCCCCCCCCCAACCGACAGGAGTGAACTTTTTTTTTGGAAACAAAGTAGGCTACTTTGCAAATATAATTCCTGTTTATTATTATTATCAACGTTTACTTTTTTATACAGTGAGGTAAATGGTAAATGTTCATGTATGTCGTTCAGTATGGGTTTACAGGTGAATTTTGCATTTCCTGCCAAATACTAGCCTCAAAAAGATAAAAATATAATTAATGCAAATAAACTACTTCTACTAATAATCATAATCATAATCAATTCAATAATAAAAATACTATATTGTTTTATTATAATATAGTTGTCATATAGTCAAGACAAAACATGCTTATGACATGCTCAAAAACTGATATTTCTTAAATCTGTATTCAAATGTAGTTTCCTCTGTCAGCAATGTATCAACAACTACACACACATTTCTATCAGTGTTTCTCTGTGTTGTGGTTGACATGATGATGACTGTTAGGAGTTAAGGGGAGAGGCTGAGCATCACCATGAAATGTGCAAATTGACATAAAAATGAATAAAAGGGGGAAAAATGCTCCATATTTTTTAGGCTGTAAACTTTAACTGTTATGTAAGCCAAGTAGACAGACAGTTTATCACTCTTCCTCCTGTATATTAGCAGATAAAAGGCATAACATAATGAATGAATGGTAAATAAAGAATGCTGGAAATAACTGCATCTCCATTAGCCTGTATGCTCTGCAGAGACTGCCTTCTTCATGTCGTGAATTGCAGCTGATGTTTTAATATGGCAATTGGCAATTTGACTTATACAACATTCGCAAGTTGTACATTTGACTCATACAATAACCCACCTTCGAGTGATGCTCTAGTTTCTTCATGTTTTGTTTTTTGCGCCGGACTGAAACTGTCTTTTCACCGACATCTCTTCACCTGCACTAGTGGCCGTATCAAAGCCGTGATTGGTCAGATGTTGATTCATTGCAACGGTGTCGGGTTACAGACGTGCTCCTCTTGTCACCTCTCACTCTCACTCTCCCGGAGAACTGAGCGGAGAACTGCGCACAGCAGCTGAGGCCCTCTGGGCGGGGCCCCCTGCGCAAGGCGGGGCCCCATGCAGCCTGCGTGATTGGCCTGTAGGGAGGGGCGGCCCTGGGTGTTATATTAGAGTTTTGCTTATTATACTGGGCTTAAGGATGACAGGGAGACAAGGATTGCAGTAACAAGGTAAATTTAGAAATAACAACAAAGCTAGATATGTATTGATGGTGCTTACAATCTTAAAGGCTTGTCGCGGCTTTTTCTGTCTTTTATCAAAGATTATAAGGCCCAGTTTTATCTCCTTATAAATCTAAACCTCTGATCCAGCTGCCAGCTCAAACAGATAGGAAGTCACACTCACAGAGTTTCTGGTTGCCCTCCTGCCTGAGGCTAAGTGCCTTTAAAATCTCATCATCTTTCCTTCCTGCTCCTGGAATCATCTTGACAAACACACATTTTCATTTGACGGCGCCTCTTCTCTGTACGTCCCGTTTGACCTCCTCCAAAACAACCTGAATTTGAATCTCAAATGAAATGCAAATGCCCCTGGAAAAACCCAAATCAGATACAAATACAAGAAGTCAATCAGTGACTGAAGACACCCCAGCTGTTTGAGGAGAGGGTTTGAGGCGCAGTGGTGCCTATGGAGGGCTTTTTAATGAATCTAACACTGGAGAATTAGAGCTGACTGAGTGTGTGAGCGCCAATCAAAGGCAGACAGGAGCAGGCAGATGTACAGGCTCCTCATTAACTCTCACTTTTCCCCTTCTCCTTCTGCTCTGGCCAAGACGAGGCGAGGCTGCTCAGTAATAATGATAACGCTCTCCTCCAAACCTGAAAAACATCCCCAGACACTTCACCAGGAACGTCTTAGTCTTTAGACCTTTTTTCTTTAATTAAGTCATCACTTATGCTAACCTGTTTTAAAGGTCAAACTCATTGTATCATGACCGTAACAATATAAAAGTGTGAAACTATTCTCGGAGAACAGTTTCACAATCTTGCCTCTTTGCAATCTTTCCCTCTCTCCACACAGAATGACACTTGGACCGAGCTCTACTCCTTCGCCCTCTTTAAGGCCATGAGCCACATGCTGTGTATTGGATATGGAAGACAAGCCCCGGAGAGCATGTCCGACATCTGGTTGACCATGCTCAGTATGATCGTGGGAGCCACCTGCTACGCCATGTTTATCGGCCACGCAACCGCACTCATCCAGTCTCTAGACTCCTCCAGACGGCAATACCAGGAAAAGGTAACAATCGTATTTTTTTCTTTTACTGGATGTTTACTGCTTGATTTTACTGGATGGCTTACAGCTAATGTATATAGTGTGGGGCAGATAAGGTGTCAGTTAAAACAAGAAAAAAAGAAAATCACCAACCCTTTGCAGACATGCAGATAGCTGTGTAGTTTTACACAACTATGTCCAGGTTTTGAGATTTCCATATTGAGATTTTAGTGGTTGAATTAACTTTGTGTTCAAAGCATTCCATTTTAATATAAAGGTGGGGTAGGTCATTTTGGAGAAACCAGCTCAAGTACACTAGAATTTGAAAATAGACAGCCGGAAAAAATAATAATCTGGTCTGTACCGTTCTTAGTTTATTATTTGAAAGACATACATAAGAGTGAGATTTTCATTATCATATTCAATATCTGAAGAGGGAAAATGAGTGTACTTCCTAAACTATTTTTTTTAAATCCAGCAGCGACACCACTTTTCAGAAATCATGTACTGATAAATCCACACACTGGGCTGTGTTGTAGAAAACTTTCCACCGGAGAAATAATCCTTATGAAACCTGGACTGTGTGTCTGTGGATTATCGGGGGTTACTGGGAAACTTCGTTTCGAAAGAGATGTTCCTTTTGATAGTTATTGAGGTGGTGTCAGAAGTCTCAGAAAAATATATCTCAAAAATTAAATGTTTTTGCCACATGAACCAACTTTTTGAAGTAAGTACATTTGCTAGGGTTATGGAGAAAAAGAAAACTGGAAAAATGAGGGATGTATTTTCCATGGTCTATTTATAAATCAATGTTGAAATGAATCAGGGGTAAACTACGTTACGTTCGCAAAAGATCCGATTCTTTTGAACGGCTCTTTGGTACGAATGAAGGGAACCGAGTCGTACTTGGTGAGAGCCGTTCTTTTTATCGTTGGTTCACTGCCTGCCATAAATCCACTCGCCTTTACAGGAACTTGCTTTCCTGAATGCAAATGTTCCATAGATGATGGCATAACGCATGCTGCTTGAGTAGTTGCAATAAATTGCATTACAAAACTCAACAGAAACATGTATTTTTCATAAACATTCCCCCCTTAATCTGGATAATCTGTATACATTCCTGTGCTAATAACTAGTTTTTATTTCGACCTCTAAAAGCTGTGTGGATTTTGGATGATCCAAACAGACCAGGAACAATTTAAGGTGCACTTTAAATATATTTTATAATGCTTTTAGAAACGAGGTCCCTGACATGCTGTATGGTTTTTAAACCTGACACACTCAGACAATGATAGTGCTTTTTAAATCAGTAGCCTCAGCGTGCCCTGCCCAAAAAAACATCTTTCAAATCCACTTCTGAAAATCCACTCTCAAAGACTTTCGTTATGTAATTGCCTTCTGATCTTGACAAGTTTAACCGTGTTTTGTTTCCCTGTGCAACTTATAAAAGTCTAATTTCATGTTCCTCTTTTGATCCTGTTTTCCATTTTGATATCTCCATTGTGATTCCTTCTTCATTATGTTGTCTTTTATATCATTCTTGTCTTCAAGCTTTCCTTTTCTGAATGTTTTAATATTTTTTTAACAGTTACTGTACATCACATGCTTGTGGGATTTGCAGGAGAGTTATATCAAGGTTTTACATCAAGACAAGAAGTGATTAGTGTCTGGCAAACATATTGATTCTAAAGGACTTCTGGGCGGATATTCATAACATATGTTTGCTTTACAACTCATGACAATAAGTCCTAAAAGGATACTTCTTGTTTTCTTCTTCTTTTTTTGTCCAGGCTAGACAAAAACATTAATCCTACAAATGTCATGCAGTCTTCACCAAATGTGGTCCGTAACTTGGTTGGATGAACTTTAAAAAGTTTTTAAATGATACTGTAATTGGTTTCTAAATGGACTTGACATTAATGCTGTAACTCTGATTGACCTCGACTAAAAATAAAAATAGAGTTAAAGGGTAAATAAGCTGCTGAGCCTCAGTGCAGTCTCTGTTTTTAGTCAGTTATGTGTATCTGTACTCTGTCAGCGGTGTGACGTCTGCAGCCATCAGTCTCATTCTGCTCTTCTTCCATGATGCACAGCAGAGAAATAATGATCAGAGTGGCAACACATCCCTCTGCCGTCCCCCATGACTGTTTGTTCATCATTACCCAATGATGTGAACCATGCTGCTCTGCAATAAGCAGCGCCATCAGATGACAGACTGGAGACAGAGTTATGGGCTGAAACTAGCCTCTCCAACAAGATAGATTCTTTGTTTAAGATAATGTAAATCATAGTGACTTGTATTCACATAACACAGAGTAAACAGTTGGCGTCATGCTCGACGTTGAGACAGAATGTCATAATGTCTCCAGCACTAAGCGTCCTGTCCTGTATTAGAGGTGTGGATTATATACTGAGGTAGACAAAGCATGCTGGTGTGTTTCTGCCTTATCAGAATGGATTATGGTGTTTGGTTAGAGCATGTATAGCAGCTCTAGAAATAGAAACATAAATAGAGACACACAGAGCTGGAGATAAGGGGGGGATGTTAATGAGAACGACTACAGTGTTTAATTTATAGGACTGAAAGAGACTCGCCCCTTCAACCATTTAGTGTTTCAGTTGTTAATCCATTATTTATTGCAAATTATTTTACCTGCTTATCCATTCCCTTAAGGTATTTATATACATTTGTTTGTCCATTATCCATTAAACAAATAGTTATTTACTTTTGTGAGATGAAGCTAATTATTGCATCTGTTTATCCATTACTTTTAGGAAATCCTTTCACATTTTCTCTTTTTCTTTTAGCTCTTTGTTCAATTTGATTATCTATTGCTTATGGCTATCTTTTTCAGATGCATCTGATACTCTTTGCTTACTATTTAAGATATATAATTTTCATTCGTTTAATCATGACGTTTCACTATTTTACTTTGAATTCCTTATTTTAAGCGAATTATTTTCTAATTATCACTGGCTTTAATTTACTTCCTTTTAGCTAATTAATTTGTTTATTTATTACTTTTAACTAATAATCTTCCCTTGATCCCTTTCTTTTAGCTAATACTTCATAATGAATTGGTCCATTACTTATGGCTAATTGTCTAATTTGTAATCATCCCTTTTTGCTCAATATAACACTAACTATGTAATGCTGTATCCACTGCATTTAGATTATTTGATTATTACTTTAGCTATATGTTTTTTTCTCTTTTAAAAACAAATCAGATCATCATTTCTGTTTCTTTTTAAAATTACCAAGCCTCTCTAAACTCTATACATGGTTACAAATACCATGGTTTGGCATCTTCGTTCTTAAAGAAAATCATTTAAACATGATCCGGCTGGAGTTAAGGAGAATCACATTGACTGACATGAAGTTGTAGACGTGTTTCTCCACAAACAGTATTACTACAGTGAGGTGGTGACAGCAGCTCAGTTTTCTCTTGTCCCGCCCCTCCTTCACGTTGAGGTGACTGCTGCTGCCTTCATCCCGTGTTTCTCCACACCAATCCTCCTACCCCCCCCCCCCCCCCTCCAGCCCTCCCCTGCTCCCATTCACCCTTGACTATTGGGCAATACATCATCTGCCACCAGCACTGGACACGGACAGAGGGCATTAGCTATTATGTAACTGATCTCCCGCTCTTCCTCCCCATCACTTCCTCCCCTTCAGGAGCCATAGAGCGGCATGTTCGAGTTATAGTGAGAGGAGTGAGATGTGACCCCCGGGGGCCTCGGGTGATGAACACTGGGCAGTGACACATACAGTAAAACAGTGACCTGAGGAACTGCTCACTTTATAACCTGGATGACCACTAATGCCTGGCTTGGGCTACCTGGATCTTGGACACTTATCAAATATCTAATTACATTCATGGTTCACTACCTTGCTTTTTCTTGGGTTTTCAACCACATCTCATTGTCAGATATGGTTGGAAGCTCCAGAAATGGTTAGTGCACCTTGAGTTAAGATTCTATTCTGGGTGGCCACTCTCTCCATAGTCAATGAGGTAGTTTCAGAGTGAGAATATCCAATGGTATGATATCGAGGGAGTTATAGGCTTTCCTCTCCCTCTTCTGACTTACTGAAACTTTGATTCAACCAGAAATATCCCTCAAATTTTAAATAATTACATTTTCATCACTCATTCAAAGACCTTTGATCAGGCCAATATAGTATATGTTCAAAAATAAAGCCTATAAAGGAGCATTTGCCGTCATTGATTGCACATACTATGTATACAGAAACTCTTTGTTTCCTTGTTTGTATGTTTATATGTGTACGTTTTCCTGCGCTCCTAATTTATTGAGTTTATGTATAATTCTGATTTCAGCTGGGGTTTAAAAACATGTAGGACACACACACACATACCATGTATACATCATTTCAGGGGACATTACATTAACTTACATGCATTTCCTGGAGACTTATCCTAACCTTAACCATAACCAACACATGCCTAACCCTTACCCTTACCCTTACTCTTACCCTAATCCTAAACCTAACCAAGTCTTCACCCTAAAATTAATTATTCCCCTCATGGGGACCTCCAATTTGTGCGAGTCCCCACACGTGACTATGTAAACAGATTTAGGTCCCCACAAGTATAGTAATGCTAGGCCACACACACACACACACACACACACACACGCACACGCACACGCACACGCACACAGATAGGACTTGTCACATCCTGAGCCCTGATGCTCAGTGACATGGCACATTAATGGGAAGGCCAATTCAATTTCTCCCTTCCCTCTGTGGCAGCTTACAGTGACAGCCATGCCTCATGATGGTAGCCACCAACTCGGGGCTTTATGTCCCATAAAAAGAATTCTGTGCTTCCCCTTAACTTAGTCCACAGGCGGAGAGGAACAGATTGGATTTCAGAAATGTAATGCAATGGTAGTGTTACACAAGTACTGCAAGAGGATCTAAGTATAGTCTTAACTTCATTCCCCAACCACAAAATCTGATTTTACAAAATGGACACTGTATTGTAAAGACAGTTGGATGTTATGTGTGTCTAACATGTATTTATTTTAGCTTTTAAACGAAATAAGTGTAATATAGCGAATGTTTGAAGTTCAGCTTCCTAAATGTGCCCATTTTGAGGGTAAATATTCATAGTAGAAGTGAGTATATTGCTATACATTTGAGAATTGGTTTATAGATTAGGTTATTTGTATTAGAGTTTGTTTGTGGGTTATTCAGTGTGACTCAGAGCATCATAATTAACGGTTCAGGAGATCAGACCCCTCATCTCTCTCCCATGTTCCCTTTTAGATCATGGCCATGTGCTAACACAGCATGCATTATGGATTCCCACAATATATATTTTCTTCTTTTTATTCAATTTCCAGCCAAACATAATTTATTGTATTTAATTCAGCTTCACTACAACTGTGTCATACTCCACATGTTGTAGCTTAAAAGTAGTAAGAGTAGATTTTATTTATTTTTTGCAACATGAGGGCTTTTGACACCCTCTCCATTTACTGACTTTGAGTGACATGGTCTCTAATCTAAAACTAATGCTGAGAAAATCTGAAAGTCAATAAGACTCAGCTCCTTCAGCAACCACTTTTAAAATAGTGGGTTATATATATATATATATATATATATATATATATATATATATATATATATATATATATAGAGAGAGAGAGGAAACATTTATTGGAAGCCTCCCAGTTTACCCCCAGGCTCGATTAAATAAGCTGTATTCTCTGGACGGTGGCTGCATCTTTAATTGTTACTGACACACGGCAAATGGGAAGGAATTTGTGTAGTTTAAGGGAAATTGCTTAAGTCTTTTTTTGTTCTACTTGGTGAGTTAGAGAGACACACATTTGGGGAATCCCCTCTCATGTCCTTACCTTTTTATTTAAAAAGAAAGTTCCGTTTTTCTGTATAATGTCTTAACCTTCAAGATGTGTTCAAAATGTGTAAACATGGTTAAAGATGAAACCAAGTAAGGGTTCGTTTTGCACTGCCATGGCTGTTCGTTCTAAATAAACCATGGACAAAGGCAATTAATTAAGACTGAATGAGATGAGATTAAAATTGGTTTACGTAAGAAGGAAGAGAATGCCGTTAATTGTTTTGCAGATGTAATTTAATGATGTGGTTCATTAAAGTAAGTGATACACTAGGATTTTCATTTTGTCATGTAAGAGGCAATGCGGTTCTGTTTGCATGTGTCTTCATTGTGTAATACATATATAGATCACAATGGAGAACAGTAAGATACTTGGCAATTATTAGGCAAAAGTGTTTAAAAGAGATAGGGAAATGGAAAGAGTGTGAGGAATGTGAATTTAAAGCGGAAAGAGAAGGATTAAAGGAGATGGAATGGATTTAAAGTTGTTTAATTAAAAATAAATTACGTTTCCCTGAAAATAAGGACGTATATCACTCTCTTTCACTAATGAGGCAACTCTTACATAAAAGCACGTTTTCTCTCCCACTGCTTTATATTATGTAGGATAATCCTACTGTATGGAAACAAATTAATGCTGCCCTACCATGACAGCCAGTGTGTCCTGTAGAAAGGATAATGTGATTTACCGTGACACCAAAGGCACCAGGGTCAAGCCTTCATTTTCTCCTCTAACCCATATGTCACCTTATCGTGTGACACAATGTAATTTCTTACAGAGAGCCACCCTATAGTATGTACGTGTCATTGACTGTTACAAGCAAGGTCACTGTCATACAGGGTGTGTCCACATTAATCCTGATTGGCTATACTCACAGGCAGGAATGATTTGCCTCTCTAGAAAAGATTTATTTTATAGCTGCTTATATTGTCCATCCAGGGACTTAACGAGATACAGATATGTGCCAAATTGAAGTAAAAAAATAACAAGCCATTGACAGAGTGTACAAGTCTTTAAATTGGTTTTAAAACATGTTTGAATTTATTTCATATTGCCCACTCCTAGGTAACGCATGTTGACTGTCATCTAAACTGAATCTGTATGGGAAAAGTTTATCTGACTGATTTCAATAGCAACGTTTTATTTTGTCATATTTTCTTCGTAGATGTTTTTCTTCAGTCGAGGTTAAAAAAGTATAAACTGACAGCTGTGATAGCTATAACTTCAAAGCAGGAAGGTAAAGGAATGATTACTCTGCTGATTAATATTGCCAAACCACAGGCTGTAAACAACGACGGCTTTGCTTGACGGGGGGGCAATCAATTTATTTAGTCTTTTACTTCCACTGACAGTAATTGGTACTGCATAACTATTTGAGCACTGCGTATCAAACCTTAACATTTGAACTCTGTATAGAAGATTTGAGCTGTGTTTTGTGTCTTTCGGTGCGGTGCTGAACAGACTTGGTTCTCCTTTGACCCCTGATTGAAACCTACCACTTATCCAATTGACAGTTTATCCCCCGGAGGGATGACTCACACTGCTTAACACACACACATATACACTTGGGAGCGAGACAGATCTTACGTAACACTTTAAAGTTGCTCCAACAACAGAGCCACGTTGAGGCACAGTATTGATCGCTGTTAAAAAACAGATTTGTGTCCATAAACAGCTAATTTAATCATATTTTTCCTGCTTGTATGTTGTATACTTGTGAGTCTGATTCTGATATAAAAAGGAAGTTCACAGCACTAGTTAAGTTTGGATTAGATCAGCGATCAGATTTGACTTATTGTCATTGCATAAAGTACAAGTACAGAGACAATGACATGCAGTTAGCTTAGCATCAAACCAGAAATGCAAAAAAACAGAAACCATGTGTCCATTTCTCCCCTCAGGGTGTTGATGTTTTGCACGTAGCATATATATTTACATTGGAAGGTGTTGTTGTGTGAAATCGCAATAAATTGCCGCATCTTCCCGGTATAAATAAAGCTTAGCAAAGGGGCGTTGGTGTACAGTGAATGTGAAGATTCATTCCCCAATTTACACAGTGCCATGCAATTCCACCTCTCAGCAGAAGCTGTACAGTAGATCCAGCTGCTATTTTCACAGGGAATCCAGGCATGAAATGTGTTATGGAGTGGCATAATGAGTTGAGGGAAGTGGACACTCAGGGTGCATGTGATGCAGATAAACATAACGGTGGCGAATATGTGATGGCTTGAATCATATGGGTGAGCAGACACGATGCGCTGCTGCCAGCCAACCTCCATATACCGCTCTTTTTTTTCTATCCACATTGTAACAGATTTATCAACACCAACATACATAACAAACATCTTGCTTTCTCAGTATAGTAACCCGAGTACACAAATGCCCAATGTTCTGTTCAATTATTTACCTATGTCTTTTTCACTCAATTTACCAGATCATGGGTGAGTTGTTTCATATATTTAACTCATGGAAACACATAACAATAGTATGTATTTTCCATTTCAAAGCCTGATAATATGAACTGTATGTTCAGCCCTTCAAAATAAAACATTTTTAGTCACACCAACGTTTGTGGATAGGATGTACAATAGCAGTGTCTTCCTTCTCTGAACACAGTAGAGCGTGATGAATCCTCGAGGGATATACAGAGCTGTCATGTTTCTTTGACAGCTTCATCACAGTTTTCCTCACATAGCTACAAGATATAAATGTGTCACAGGATCTTCATGTATGCAGAGCTGTACATCCCGGCACACATGAAAGCTACAGCTGGTGATTGAGGAAAAGTATTTTGGGTATAAATGAGAAGTGAGTGGTGTGCCTACAGCTGCAAAGTAGGACATACTTCAAAACTTTTCCCGCCACAATTAACAATAGAGATGCTGAATTTTGTTTCTCCTCACCTCTTTCTCTCTCCATCCTACAGTACAAACAAGTGGAGCAGTACATGTCGTTCCACAAGCTACCAGCAGACTTCCGACAGAAAATCCATGACTACTACGAGCACAGATACCAGGGCAAGATGTTTGATGAAGAGAGCATCCTGGAGGAGCTAAATGAGCCTCTGCGCCAGGTACCAAAACAGCAAAGCATAATGTGCTCATACACCAACAAACACACAGCTTTATCCAATCTTCTCTGCATTGATTTAGTTATAAACCTTTTGTTATTTACTTTCTTAAAGAATGGACTCAACATTTAATTCACCCAAAAGTAGTTTTTCCTGCTGCCAATATTGTTTGCTGCAGTAAGCAATAACAAATTCCCTCTTGCTTCAAGGACACTTCAGGTAACAGAAAATAAAGAGAAAACTCAAATGGAGAAAATTAATGATATCTTATAATCATGTGTTTACCCAGAACATATTGTGAAATCAACAGTTTTATAAGTTGTTCTTCCTGAGATGCCAATGCAAACATACTCCTTAATGCTAAATCATCTATTTTCCACAACAGAACATTGCAATTGATTTTGGTATTCATGCTGTGTAACCTCTAAACATTGCTGTATAGAAAACACATGCATGCCTACCAATCTCTTACCCTGACATTATGATCCACCGCTGTTTCCTCTTTCAATTTAGGAAATCGTCAACTTTAACTGCCGTAAGCTGGTGGCTTCCATGCCGCTGTTTGCCAATGCTGATCCCAACTTTGTGACAGCCATGTTGACCAAGCTGAGGTTTGAGGTCTTCCAGCCTTTAGACTACATCATCAGAGAGGGCACCATCGGCAAGAAGATGTACTTCATCCAGCACGGCGTGGTCAGCGTCCTCACCAAGGGGAGCATCGGCATGAAGCTGATGGACGGATCCTACTTTGGAGGTATGTCACTGACTCGGTCATCTTAGTATCATCAGATGCTGCTCTATATTATTCTTATTATTCTATTTTTTCTTTCTTAAACTGTGGGTTTTCTCTGGAAGTTTTTCCTTGTACGATGTGAGGGTCTAAGGACAGAGGGTGTTGTTTTTCTCATACTGATAATCTGAACAATCTGTGCTGTTGTATTAGCTGTAAAGTGTCTCTACTGTAGGCTATTTTTATTATATGTACAGCACTTTGGCTCGACCAAAAATCGTTTATAAATGTGCTATATAAATACAACTTGATTTGATTCTGTTCTGCTCTGATTTTTGTATTCGTCTTTTCTATTATTTTACTGTTTTGTTCTGGTTTGTTTTTTGGCCTGTCCTATTCTCTTCTGTTCATTTCTTTTATTTTGTTGAATTCTATTCTATCATAATGTAGTCATAGAAGTAGAATTGAATAGAACAGATTATTGTGTAACATAATGGAATACAGTAGAATAGAACATTTGTGTTATCTTTTCTATTATTTTCTATTCGGTTAATATACTCCCGAGGCAAGGCAGGCTCAATTTTACAGAACATTTCAACAACAAAGCAATTTAAAGTGCTCTACATTAGCTCTTACAGAAAGAGAAAGTAAATTAAGTTAAAAAAGAATTGAGAAAGTAATAACATAGAATTAAAGTTACATTGCTGTGTAAGATATGAATAGTTATTTGTTATAATAAAATATATTTAAAAAGCCTAGATTTTAAAGAACAGGGAGTTGTAGCAGACCTGCAAATTGGATATTTGTAGCATGAAAACTGAACACTAATTCTCCATGTTTACTTTTGACTCTGGGAACCGAAAGAAGACATGTCCCAGTCGACTTGAAAGGTCATGATGGTTTATAAAGAACAAGGAGATCTCAAATGTATTTAAGCCTTAAACCATGCAGTCCTTTGGAATCCAGCAGTACTGTTTGACGGACAGTGTAAAGACCTCAGAACTGGACTAAAGTGATCCACTTTTTGATCTTGGGGAGGACCAAGGACCTGATAAAAATCATTGTGTCTCCTTTGTGGAGGACACAACACTGAGGACTTTATTTCAAACACCATACAGTACATGCAGTTTATTTGAGTCCTCATGTACTGTGGAAAGCACCTCAGGGCTTTCTAGTGATGTAACACACATGGGGATATGCCCAACAGAGCACATGTGAAGTCTTTCAAACGTGGTAATGTTAGCAAACACACTTTATGGCAGTAAGGGAGTTAAGTGGTCAAATATCTAAAGTCATAGCTGTTTCTGTTCTTCACAAGGGTGCTGTTTTTGTATTTATGAGTCTGATATAAAGATGTTAGAACTCTGTGTTCATTGGCAGCCTCTTAGAATACACATTTTAACCCAGATCCTTTGCAGGCTATACTGAACCTTTTCCCCTACATCGGGGAAACAGAGCAATGAGTGAGACAGAAAATATTTTGTCTAAAATGGTTGATGGAATTTCCGACATTGGGTTTACATTTTGTTGGTTCAATGTTGATCAAATGCAAGATTATTAAAAATAACTTTTGATGTTTTTTTCAACTAGCAAATTATGCCTTACTATACCGCATTACTTTTCCAAGTGTCAGGAAGATTACTTACCTGAGTAAAATAGAAACAGCATTGAATACAATTTAATAGAATAGAACAACAATAGAACATTACACAGGAGGAACATATCTCTATTCTATTCCGTCCAAATCTATTCAATTATATTATATTTATATTAAATTACAGTATATTCTATTGTATTATTTTATATTCTATTTCTATCCTATTATTTTCCATTCTGTTATGTTCTATTATACTCTTTTCTATGCTTTTCTATTTTATTCCATTTCGTTCTGGTCCCTTCTATTCTATTCCATTTCCCCCCCCCCTGCGATATATATTGCGATATGAAAACATACAGGAATTGTTTTGTTTTTTTCCGCAAACCATTCTTTCTTGATCTCTAATGCTATACAATTGGTAATTTTTAACGATATTTAACCGGATAAAGGATTTTAGTCACCGACGTCTGGATCTTAAGTTATCAGAGCAACAAGCTGAGCTAGCTCGGTTAGCAGCGCCGAACTGCCCTGGAGAAACACATGAAACTACTTTATTCAGTGTTTTTATCTTTAATCACGGGGTCAGTTTGCTTTGGAGATTTGATTGTAGTTTGCTGTGCATGCAGAGCCTGCATGCCACTCACTCAATTACCCCTGACATGAGAGCCGCGCAAGCTTTCCTTTTGTAGCAAGCAGCAAAATAATTGACATCTAACATGACATCCACGCGATGTGAATATCGCGCATGCGCATATCACGATTATCGTCACGACACGATATATCGGGCAACCCTAATTCTGTTCCATTCGGTTAAATTGAGGGCTGCTCGATTATGGCAAAAATCATAATCTCGATTATTTGGGTCAATAGGCTAATTATTATTAAAAACGATTATCCATTTACTTTGAAAACATCAATTTATTGAAAAAAAGGTGTAGTATGTTTTTAACAGTTGATTACCCTGAACTTTAAGTATAATAGAGTGGCGAAGTCACGCCCATCTACTTCTGGTCCATGGGACCTTATTTCGGAAAAATAATGTATTGAAGTCAATGGAGAGAGAAAACGTATCTTTCGATCCCGTTTGAATTGTGCCATGAATTACACATATGATGTTTGTCAATCTTAAAAAATAATTTCCATGTCAAAAAAGTCACAGTTTGTCTTAAAACTGTTGAAATATAAGACTATGAAAAATACGAAACTAGAAAGACTACAAATCCCAGAGTCGCGTCAGTGATGTCACAATTATTTTTCCTCCACTAGATAGCTAAAATCAGATAACTTTAACAAGATGCCTGTGTGCTTAGTACCAGGTTGTTATCATACCAGCAATGGTTCTTGCTCGTTCTTTCGCTTCCCGTCTGATGAAAGGACCAGGAGTGGCTGGATCAAGTTAGCTACCTAGCTAGTAGCTAGCACGTTAGTTAGCATTACAGCCTTGTCATTTGTATTAGCCTTAATATGAAGTAACATTAAGTAACCTAAAATGTTAAACAGTAAGAGTAGTAGTCATATTTCGTGAATCCTTTGAAGAGTACTGTCACACCGGTGCAGGGCCGCCCCTCCCTACAGGCCAATCACGCAGGCTGCATGGGGCCCCGCCTTGTGCAGGGGGCCCCGCCCAGAGGGCCTCAGCTGCTGTGCGCAGTTCTCCGCTCAGTTCTCCGCGCACCCCCCGCGAGAGTGAGAGGTGACAAGAGGAGCACGTCTGTAACCCGACACCGTTGCAATGAATCGACATCTGACCAATCACGGCTTTGATACGGCCACTAGTGCAGGTGAAGAGATGTCGGTGAAAAGACAGTTTCAGTCCGGCGCAAAAAACAAAACATGAAGAAACTAGCGCATCACTCGAAGGTGGGTTATTGTATGAGTCAAATGTACAACTTACGAATGTTGTATAAGTCAAATTGCCAATTGCCATCTTAAAACATCAGCTGCAATTCACGACATGAAGAAGGCAGTCTCTGCAGAGCATATAGGCTAATGGAGATGCAGTTATTTCCAGCATTCTTTATTTACCATTCATTCATTATGTGATGCCTTCTATCTGCTAACGTACAGGAGGAAGAGTGATACACTGTCTGTCTACTTGGCTTACATAACAGTTAAAGTTTACAGCCTAAAAAACATGGAGCATTTGTTCCCCTTTTATTCATTTTTATGTCAATTTGCACACATCCTAATAACAGCCAATTAGCACAGCACAACAGCTATAGCAGGGCTGTAATGTCAAGCAAATATTTTTCATGAAGGGAAATCACAGGTCTCCCTTCACATAACTTGCATTGCTTGGAGTGAGGGCACAACATAACCCCTGTTTGTGATAAAATATCTCAATGAGTAAGTAGCAGTAAGAACATGGTGATGTCAGGTCAAACATGCCCTGAGCTCCAATTCATATTTTTAGACTTTAGCTCTGTTGACATGAGTGATTATAAACATCAGGTCGCAGTAGTACAGTATTCTGTAACATATACTATCTATATTGCCTTTAACATTTCTTGGCCTGAACTGAATTTCTATCCACATTATCCTTTGCTACATTTGTAAATTATTTGCATTAATAGATTTAGAAAAAAGCCAGAGTTTTGTAAACAGTTTTCTATGGCTTTAAAAGCAGCTGAATCTGCAGACTAGACTTTGGCTATTTTTATAAAATTGCTGTCTGGCAGAACAATGCACTTCATTGGTTCATTAAACATCTGCTTGTGTACAGTTCAATATTCACTATCTGAGAATTAGTCTGCACACAACATCTTATAATTCAAACCTTTATTTTGACAATATAACAAATCAAATCAAGTTTTATTTATATAGCACATTTATAAACGATTTTTGGTCAAGCCAAAGTGCTGTACATATAATAAAAATAGCCTACAGTAGAGACACTTTACAGCAAATACAACAGCACAGATTGTTCAGAATATCAGTATGAGAAAAACGACACCCTCTATCCTTAGACCCTCACATCGTACAAGGAAAATCTTCCAGAGAAAACCCCACAGTTTAAAGGGGAAAAAATGGGAGAAACCTCAGGGAGAGCAACAGAGGAGAACGGAGGAGCTTATGTGTTTCACTGATTATCTATAAACACATACATATTTCAGAATCTAGAAGGGAACTGGGTTAAGAATATTGTTGTATTTGTAGCAGAAAAAGGTTTTCCTGGTAGCAGAAAAAGAAAAACAACTGTAAAGAAATATCATATTTAAGGATGATAGCTACTCTGCTATAAATGGTTACTAAGTGGTTTGAAAAGCTTTTTAATTAAGTGGTTTCATGAGAATAATATTCTCTCCCATGCAGCACGTCCTACTAATGATGAAATAATATGTAAATGGTTGTGATATGTAGCAGGAATATATAATATCCGTGACAATTTATGAAAAGACGTCTGGGGCTTCTTGTGGATCTGAGGAGAGGTTCTTCCACAACTCCGAACTTTATAATGCTAAAAACCTTAAACTTTAGTAATAAAGAAAACTTAGAAACGTTCTTTTTTTCAATGACTTTTACCTTATTTGACTACGCTCTTTACTCAGTATCACTAACGTGTTAATCAATAGACTGAGTACTGGTATGAGTACACACCCTGTTTAAAATGCGTCATACTGTACAGTGTACACCCTTTTACTTACATTACCGCAGTTGACCATGAGGAGCAGAACATACAGTAAGAGGTAGAGCGTCTATCTGCATATGCTATTCATTATTAATCTACAGAGGAACTATAAATCCTTTATCAGACAGGCAGAAAACATGGTCACACTCTAGGTTACCCTTTATTGATCCCTGGATAAAAAGCTGCTGTAACCTGACTCATAGTCAGTGAATGTAGGCGTTTATGAATGAACTGTATGCACAGAATCTGTTGTATAGAGACAGGGATTGTGTTCATTTCTAAAGATTGACACACTGAAAGCTGTTAGATATATAGATAGCATAGATCCTATCAACACTTACAACTTTTTTTGCCTTTTAAAAAGATAGAAATGTTAGAAAATACACTATATTTATTTTTACCAAGATAGAGATGATAATGATAATACCATCCTTATGTGTGTACATTAAATATGAAGCTAGTGCCAGCAGATGGTTAGCTTAGCACACAAAATGAAAACAGCTAGCCCGACTGTTAAATGTTGCCATCTAACTCTTTTATATGAAAGTAATTAAGAATGAACAACTCTAATGAACATTGCAAGGCTCCACAGTAATGGTTGCCAGGTTGCCATTGTTAACCAATTCTTGAACTTTGGTTGCTATCGGTGAGCACCACATAAGAATGCTGTTTTAGTTCTAAGGTCTTCAATGACATCCACTTAAACACAGACAGTGGCAGAACTTCAGTGTTAGTATTATTAGATCTCAGTGCTGCGTTTGACACTGTTGACCACAACATATTACTAGATCGACTGAAAAACTGGGTGGGACTTTCGGAAACAGTTCTAAATTGGTTTGAATCCTACTTGAAGGACAGAAACAACTTTGTTTCTATAGGTAAATACACATCTGAGTTGACAAATATGACATGTGGGGTACCTCAAGGCTCCATCCTGGGGCCTGTTCTCTTTAACATCTACATGCTACCACTGGCTCAGATAATGAAAAACAACAAAATAAGTTACCATAGCTATGCGGATGACACACAAATTCACGTAACAATTTCACCAGGAGACTATGCTCCAGTTCAAACACTGAGTAAGTGCATTCAACAAATCAATGACTGGATGTGTCAGAACTTTCTCCAATTAAACAAAGATAAAACTGAGGTAATGGTTTTTGGAGCCAAGGCAGAACGTATAAAAGTTAGCGCTGAGCTTCAGTGTGCAATGTTCAAAACAACAGATAAAGCCAGAAATCTAGGTGTAGTCATGGACTCTGACCTGAGTTTCAACAGTCACATTAAAACAGTTACTAAATCAGCCTACTATCACCTAAAGAACATATCTAGGATTAAAAGACTAATGTCACAGCAGGATTTGGAAAAACTTGTCCATGCTTTTATCTTCAGTAGACTCGACTACTGTAATGGCGTTTTCACAGATCTCACTAAAAAATCTATTAGGAAGCTGCAGCTGATTCAGAACGCCGCTGCTCGAGTCCTCACTAACACTAAGAAAGTGGATCACATCACTCCTGTTCTGAAGTCTTTACACTGGCTTCCTGTGTGTCAAAGAATAGATTTCAAAATACTGCTGCTGGTTTATAAAGCACTGAATGGTTTAGGCCCAAAATACATTTCTGACCTCCTGCTAAATTATGAACCATCCAGATCTCTCAGGTCTTCAGGGACTGGTCAGCTTTCTGTCCCCAGAGTCAGAACTAAACATGGAGAAGCAGCGTTCAGTTATTCTGCTCCAAATATCTGGAACAAACTCCCAGAAACCTGCAGGTCCGCTGAACTCTGACTACTTTTAAATCCAGACTAAAGACTTTTCTTTTTGTCGCTGCTTTTAATTGAACTATTCATATCTTAAACTGCACTGTAACTTTTATCCATGTATTTTTTCTTTTAATGTTTATTTTATTAGCTTTTCTTTTTAATGACTGATTTTAAATGCCATTTTCTTAATGTCTTACATTTTTTGTAAAGCACTTTGAATTGCCTTGTGTTGAAAAGAGTTCTGAGCAAAAGGTCAGAATACTTGCAGAAATCTCATTTAAAATATTGGGAAAAACACTTATTTTCTTCCATATGTTACTGTAATGAAGCTTTTATTATTTTATTTCATACTTTCATTACGTATAACAGCACAGTGTCTTAATCATTCAAAAAACATTTGACTAAAAATCCATATTATCATTTTTGGCAACCAAAAGTGAATGCCTGGTTGTCAATCGTGGAAACTATTTTTAAAGTTAGTGTTGAGCTCTGTAATATTTTAGTCGTATTGTATATTTATATACTTTCCAATGACATGTGTAGGTTTGTGTTTCTTGTTCTGATGCTGCCTTGGTTTGCTTTGTGCATCTGGAGACATCACAGTCATGAACAGACAGTCACAGTGCACTCCACTGTAGCACCTCTACTCACGTCCTTAATGTAGTCTCCTCGTGTTTCGTTATTTTTCTCCCTTTCCCCACAAATAGTCAGAGGAGGTCGACCTTTCATGGGAGTAAAAAGAGGGCATATAGTTGTCAAGACAACCATGGGAGCAACAAGGGGAACAACTGAATGTAATGAAGCTCAGCTGAACATCTCCAAATATAGAGTGTGCTCCCTTCACACAGCTGTCAGCACAGTGGAGGACATATTCAGTTTTACTGTCAGTGGATCAACCTGGCTACACACAACCTCCAGAGGTGGGAAGTAGTGGAGTACAAATACTTTGCAACTGTACTTAAGTACATTTTTCTGGTATCAGTACTTTACTCCACTACTTATTTTTCTGACAACTTTTTACTTTTACTTCTTACATTTTTAACACAAATACCTGTACTTTCTACTTCTTACATTTTCAAAACAGACTCATTACTTTTTTAAATCTGTGTTTGGTGGCGTGATCATTATTATTTAGAGTCATTGTGTGCCTATTGATTTGAACACGATCCGTGTATCCATCATTTCCTGGTCTTCTCTAAAGGAGAGGGACCAATGAGAACGTTGTCATGTTGCCGTTGTTCAGCATGGAAACATTCATTAGCTAACAATGACATTATTGTTCTATTGATATCAATGGAGGTCAGGTATTCTTTAAAGCAGCTGGTAGTTATGGGTACTTTTTACTTAAGTACATTTCAAAGCCCATACTTCTTTACTTTTACTTGAGTAAAGAAGTTCATTCAGTACTTCTACTTTTACCAGAGTATTTTTTAAATACGAGTATCTGTACTTCTACTTGAGTAAAGGATGTGTGTACTTTTGCCATCTCTGACAACCTCTGAGCACCTGTACCACTTCTGATCACACATTAGCTCAAAGCCTAGAGTTCTGGGATGTCAGTTTCAGACGGCTCAACATATATCCTGATTTATATCATCTATGTTCTTTTCTCTGGCACTGACACTCTGAAAACTGTCACTTTTTTTGATCTGATCATCTCCTGTCTGCTCTCACTTTCACCTCTCCAGAGATCTGTCTGCTGACCCGTGGCAGACGGACGGCCAGCGTGAGAGCGGACACCTACTGCCGCCTGTACTCGCTCTCTGTGGACAACTTCAACGAGGTGCTGGAGGAGTATCCCATGATGAGGAGGGCCTTTGAGACGGTTGCCATTGACAGATTGGACAGGATAGGTAAGAAGGCCAACTTGATTTGTAACGGCACAAATAAAGTTAACTTTATCTGATTTTTTTAACTCATTGTTTCTTCAAAATGTACTACTGTCCCCAAAATGTACTACTGTCCCCAAAATGAAATTTTTCGGGTCCATCTGGGCAGAAGATGCACACGTTGACATTATTTTTCTCAGATCTCAATCACAAAAAAAATCAATTTCATTTTTCCATTCAGACCAAATGTATGAAATGTTTCTTGGGACATTTAGTCACGGATAATGAGCATTACGCCTCACTGATAAAAGCCACAGGTAAGGTGCCTATATAGGCATATGTGAGTCATTCATAAGGTGAAATGAGGCATTATGGAAATGTATTAATTCATTAACTTGAACACTGCACTACCTGACAGCTGTGATCCACTGTGTGAATGATCCTCAGAGAGGAGTCGATGGTGAAAATATATTCATGGCTGTGAAATGATTATGCGGTTTCGTGGGCATAAATCGGTCATGAAAATGGAAGACTTCCTGTGGATATCTGCCATTTTGCCAACTGTTATTTAACATACCGTGAGAGACACTTATGACTATCATGGCAGAAACCACTGAGCAAGATTATGGTTTGAACCTCTGTAATATTTCTAGATGAATGGACTGATTTGTTATAAGTGATCACTCAGCAGAGACTCTGTCTGAACACTGAATCACATACGCACTTAAACGTGCACAAAGACTGATTTTTCTTTGAATCCGCGGTCAAGATTCACATTGAGAGATGCAAACTTCTCTACAATATCGGCTCAGTTAAATCTGCTTTTTTTTAATGAAATTTGGTTTGTTTCAGATATTATCGGAGTCTGCATGTCCCAGAGAATGTCGTGGCTGTTCAGAAGAGTAATGTTTTGTCACAGAATGTACTGTCACATTTGAAACAAACCAAGTATATTTAAAAATCTGTTAAAGGGGCCCTATTTAGATTTGTTGGGATTTTCCATTTCCTGTAGTGTGTTTTATAGGTTTTGTTTATGTGAATGGTCTGCAAAGGCTCTGGGCTCTGGTTTCAGACAGAGGGTGAAAAGAGGTGCTGAAGCACAGGCAGTATGAGAAAAATATATACATTTTTTAACAATAAAGCACGTCAACATTACAGTAGAGGCACAACATACAAATATGAAATTACAAATTAGCATAATAGGGACCCTTTAATAATCTACAAAGCTACGGTTCATTTAGTAAACAAATCTACATTTAATACAATATACAGTACACATAGCATTGGTTTACTAGCGGTATGGCGGATGCAAAGACGCATGGTGGCGACAATTATCAGCCCCCAATTATTTTCTTTATCTGTTCCCTGAAGCCGTTTGTTAACAAGTCGACGCAAACTTGTTATTGTTCTTCACTATGCGAACAACTTTCCCCTCCCTTAACACCCCGCAATGTCAGTCATGCTGTCGATGTCAACCCCCCCCCCCCCCCCTGGTCACATGACCACACTTCACATATTTACAAAAGCCCTGATCAGCCGCCTGCCAGCTGTTGCCATAGCAGCCAGATTCCACACATGAGCAGCCTCCAGTCAGCCAGCTCACATATTTTAGCGGGGAGACTGACGCGTGTGCTCCAGGACATAACCGCCGACCAAGTATTCCCACTGGGCTCCTTGTGCACTGTAATCACTGATAATGTGTACTTTCGTTTGGCTTTGTCAATAGTGTAAGTTATAAAGCCTCTGTATCAAACACACAGAGGGCTGTCAGAAGATACAAATATGACATTTAAATACAGACTTTCTAATACATTTCAGATGCTTTGTTCCTTTCATAGTAAGAAAAGATTGTTGATGCATTTCCATAAGGTCTTAAGTGTGGAATAAGTCACAGTTAAGATTTTTCATTGAGCATCTGTGACCAGGATGGCTTATTTAGGATCAGTTCAACCTGAAGGAGCATCATTATTCACTATTCTGATGGAACCAGGCTTGCTCCAACAGCAGCCATTTATACATTTTAACAAAAACTCTGACCTGGGATCCATTCCTACAAATATAGAGAGCGGCTAATTGTCTTCATATACTTAATGCATCGTAAACAGTGTCACACAAGATCAGCAGAATAAGCAGTATTGCTGTGATTTAAAGCGGGATGGAGGTGACGTGTTACTTGATAATGAATAGGCAATGCAACTGATATGTGAGCTTACATGAGCTAAAGCCTAACACCTGCTCATTGGCTCTGAATTCTGAAAGGCTGATAGCTTAATGAAACTCTGCATTGGCGCCACATGTGTGTCTACCTAACGGCATGTCCTGTCTCCTTGTCAACGCACCCTTGAAGTGCCAGCAGAGAGTTATTGTTCTTATATGTTGTCTTTGGCCTCTGTGAACCAAGAACAAGCCCCAATTATCTACGAGGAATATCTAGAATTAATCCTTGATGAAAAACTCTCTCAAAGTTAGACCGGGGATTTTCCAGGCTGCAGCACAGCAAAAGAGGATTCTTCTGCCTCCTTCCTGTCGTTATAGTGGACCTCATCACAAAACCTCGATGGTGTGAGTTTTTTCGGCCACAGATGGAACTCATGCAAGGGATTCATGGCAGTCTGGATCTGCCTACTCCCATCTTCCTCCTTCTGGCCCTGCGGATGACTGTGCTAGAGAGAAACAAGTTCATCACCGACCTTTTTGACCTCTTTGTTAAATGTGTATCACTCAGGCTGTTGTAATGACTAACAGCCTTGCTTCAAAGCCAGCTCCCTAAACCACCTGCTGCATCAGAGAATCTTGGAACAGCCCCTCTTCAACTCCAAGTTACAGCAGATGGTGGATCATCTAGGTTCAGCTCAAAAGGCCAACAAGCAGCTGATATCTGGTCTTTGATCCCAAGCGTCTTCCCCCTGCAGTGCTTGTTAAGCCCTGCGATTGGCCTTTAGCGTCATAATCGCCATTGGCCGTCTGCTTGAGGTATTACAACTTTTAGCGCTCCTCTGATAGTTGCCTGGTTAAACTCAGAGGTTCTACCCCATTGGTGCCATAGAATTGCATACAACTCGTGTAGTGCAATCCAATTCTCATGTATTTAGTCGTATGCTGACTTCTTGCCAAATTCGCATAATCTCTAAAACCTAAAACTCAACGCATAACAGCACTTTTTTTTAGAATTATTGTCTTTTATTGTGATTGTAGTAATGTGTTTTTATGACATGTACATCACTTTGGCTCGACCAAAAATCGCTTTTAAATGTGTTATATAAATAAAACTTGATTTGATTTAGAAGAAGAGCGCCTGCATAAGTGTATGAATGTTTATGCAGAAGTGTCGAGATCATACCAGTTATGCAAGTAAAATGTGTCTAAAGCATCTGATCAGGCATGTTTTTATCTTCACCACAATTAGAGCCAGCACCAGTCATTTCTAACAACATGAGCACAATACAAGAAATGAAGCTTAGCGCAAGTTCAGACAGGAAGAACTATCACTCCGTATTGCACGTCATGGCAATACTCGCTCCCTGCACTAAATGACAGGGAGCGCCACTCCTCAGCTAACCTATCACTCCCCTCCATTTACAAGCCTAATCATCGCACCTGTTAATACCTCTATATATGCTCTCCCCTTTCCTATCAGCTGTCTTCCAGGTGTCAACGCGCAACCCTCCTCCACCCCTTCGCCTCCTGCTTTCAACTCAGGACCAAGCTTAACCTTCTCCCTTCCAACCGGACCTAACCACTTATCACCACCACCAGTGTCTAGACCCAGGGGGGTTCATCGGAAACGGTTCTTCCCTTCCCGATTGATATCCTACAAAACCTGGGCCTAATCGCCAAAACACCATTTCATTTACTTGTTATAAACTGTCATCATTATGTTTCATTTATATAATGTGACCGATAATAAATATGTATTCCATACATCACGTCTCTCCTGATTGAAAACCTGTAATCACCTACAGGAAGTATATCCATAGAGGCACAAATGAACGGATGTGTTGGCAACAGAAATGCTCTCTCACTCTCATCTAAGTGAGTCTGCAGAAACCCAAGCAGGCACAAACATTAGCCCTGTGATGGGGATATAGTGAGTCAGTGTAAAGAGGATGCTCTTTATTTCTCTCTCTATCTTTGTTGTTTGTCAGTGATGGATTTTGTGTTCGGAGGAAACGGTGGATAGTTCTATATTTAGGCTCCTTTATCCACCGTCACCGGGAATAGAATTAAGGGTAAAGGTAAATGGTGATGATGTTTTTTCTGTGTCAAATAGACGCTGAGACTAAGAGAAGGTAGAATAATGCTATGTGACCTTGTCCAACTAAAGCTGTTTTTCTCTTAGCAAACAATAAAATAAACCTACATGCTGTGTCCTTGTCATTGCAGGCAAGAAGAATTCAATCCTGATGCACAAAGTTCAGCATGACCTGAACTCAGGGGTCTTCAACAACCGCGAGAACGAGATGATCCAGGAGATAGTTAAATATGACCGGGAGATGGTTCAGCAGGTTGATGTTCCACGGCCGCGGGCCATGTCCATGACACCTCCTCTCCACGGCAGTATCTTTGATTCTCCGAGCTCCTCCTCGCGTCCTCAGAATTCAGCGATCGCCACTCTGCAGCAGGCCGTAGCCATGAACTTTTGTGCCCCTGTGCAAGGTAACTCGATGGGAGGGGGGACCCTGCAGTCGCCCAGGATGGTGAGGAGATTCCAGGTGCTGGAGAGTGTGCCCAGCCCAGTTTCAGCCTCTCCCCTGCAGTCTCAGTTCCTCCCTGCTGGTGCCTTCGCCTCCGCCCTGGCCAGCCCCTCGGTCCAGAGCCCGCTGGCACTCGGAAGACGATCTTTCCAGTTCGGCTCCAGCATGGCCGGCCCCCCCTCAGGCTCCCAGCTCTCTCTGACCCAGCAGCACATGATCAGCCCCGCACACCGGCCCAGCTCACACGAGAGTACTCATTCCCTGCAAATGGGCATTTTAAACCAAGACGCCAGGGCACTGTCAGCCTCTCAGCCCTCACTGCCTCACGAGGGGGCGCAACAAGGTGCCCCAAGCCCCCCCCAGTCCACAAGAGTCTCCTCCACTTCTATTGGCCCCCCTCAGATAACATCGGGTCACACAGGGGTGCGTAGCGCTATACCACATAGGGTGGTGCTGCCCCACCAGATGTCTGTGGGGGCTTTCCCTGCAGTATCCCTGCCTGGGTCTACGCAGGGTTTTGGGGCCGGTGCAGGGCTGGCAGTAGGGGGTGCGGTAACAGGTCTGGGGGACTCAGGGCTACCCAAGAAGGACTCCATCGGGAGCCTTCCTGAGACAGACCACATCAATGTCAGATCCAAGCTATCCTCAAACTTGTGATCCTAATTAAACTCTTCTAGTGGAGTGACTCTAATGAGGGGCTGGACTGCAGGAGCACGGGGGGGGGGGGGGGTTTCTGCTCTCTCTCCCACAATCTGCTCAAGTTTGACTATCCGAATGTATGAATGATAAGTGAGTGGAAGCAGGGAGAATCCATTTGGAGACTGTTCTAACATAAAGTCTGTATGAGGACTTTTGAATCTGCAGCATTGAGTTGTTTCTACTCACAGACTTTATAGTTGCACAGTAGTAGTAACGTAGCATCTTCCCATCTCCAACGTCTTTATTTACTGTATTTTACAACATAGTCAACAACATACTGTATCCTCTTTATTATCCTTTTATCCACGTCATGTAATGCAAACTTGTGGTCGGGTGGATGGGACTAAAATAAATCAGGGACCTGCTTCAGATATCAGAAGTTGGATGCTACTGTATCTACTATATTATGTGGGCTGGCTGTAAAAGACGATCATCTCACAAAGTTACAATTATTGTAGTTTTTGTAAAGAAACTTAAAAAGTTTGAACATTAAAAGGGTGTTTTTCTTATATTTCTTAAGACTATAGACCATATTTGTAAGCACAAATTGGACAATATTCCAATATGACCTTATTATAAGTATTTCGAGCCATATTATTCCCAGACTATTGATATGAATACCATTATTTACAAATCAAACCCTGATTTTTTTTATCTAGTTGGCCTCTTTTGTAAGTCTCCCCTGCCTCTGATAGTCCCCACAAATAATTATGTGAGACCCTCGGACAGACAATTAATAACCTTCATACTAAAAGTACAGCTGTGGAACAAAATGTCTATTTCCAGCCAAGCCATCGATCTCTACAGGAAATGTTTGTTTAATTTAAAATTGCGTCAATCAATATTTTTTATATCAACAATGAATAAAAGCCCTAAGGTTAATGTTAAGGGAGTTCCTTGTAGTGATGAACCAAAAGAGAGGGATCTGTATCTCCGTTGATCCTTTTTCTTAAGCAAAAGTCTTTGGGTTTAGAGCCCATAGATTTCCTGCCATGCAGTCTTATCACATATCAAACCTGTTTTCAGTAGCACAAGGCAAACGTTTTGAGCAAACTAAAACACATTTGTTCACCTGCAAATTGAACAAGCAAGAGAATCAGATGTTTCCCTAAGGAGTTGGTATCGACTCAACCAGAATAATATAGATATAAAAACATAGGTGGCCAGAAAGAAGACTCCAGTGGTATTACAATGTTGCTTGTGTATGCTGAAAGTTATAAAATGTCAGCTTGTTTTGCCATTGTTTTTCCATTTTAGTGGCCTAAAATACATTGGTGCAGCTATAAGATTCGTAAATCCAATAAAAATATCCCTGACTCAAAGACACTTTTTCTTGACAGCAGATTATTTAAAGTATTAGTTGAAAGACTGTAGTCACGTGAGTAGTAACAGATTAAGTATTCAAATGTATCTTAGAAATTATTATTCACTGCCAGTTAATTACACCGAATTTTGTACGACTCAAAATGTAAATCCATTCAAACTCGCATAATGAATCTTTTTTTTTAACCCTGAATCTCATATTTCTTGCAGCAGCAGTTTGGGCAAATTGTTTCTAGGCCAAAGTGAATTCCATACAGATAATGAAACTTGTGCAGAGCTCGGCCTTACTGTAAACGCTACAGCTTCGATCGACAGCCAAGGACATTTGCAGGATGTATATTGCAGCGTGCCTCTGTCATTGACGCCTCATTAAGAGTCCATCAGACGCCGCTGAGTTGTGTCCAAAAGCATTAAAAAGGGAACATTTTGTCCTGAACCTGACATTATACTCACCACATCTCATTAATGCCTGGACCATTACTGGGTAATGACACTGGAAATTGGAATCCCTCCGGTCTGTTCGAGACCGTTATTATTCTACTTTCATTGGATTTCATATTTCAGTGTCAATGATTTGCATTTTTTGTTTTGCTTAGTTTCAGTCCCTGTGTTGTTATCCACCTCGAGAGTTCCAAATGGGACAAGGTTGAAGGTTTGTAAGTATTTTTATAAAGTGTTTTTGAGATCTGTTGTGTTTTTGTTCTATGCTCAAATGATGCCCTTTGGAACCCATTTGAATGCCTTGAACACTTATTTATATCGAGGCTTGTTATGGTAATGTTTTACTGAACTTCTCATTGTGTTCTGGAGAGACCGTCTCAGGACAAGAAATGAATTTAGTTACAAAACAACTTTATGGACATTTTCACTTCATTAGAAAGCACACAGTAGAGGAAGATAAAGGATACGGAAAGGATGACTTGCAAAAAAACAAAGGGCCGGTAGCTAAACCTACATCATAAGTAACTCCAATGTTCTCAAACAACACAACACTTTTAATAAAAGCTGAAGAACGAACAAAGTGAAACCAAAGTTTCTTTTTATGTATGCAAATGTCTAAAACTGTTGAATCATAAACTAACTAAAAGTACTAATCAGATTATACAATTATCAAGTTTGGTAATATTGACAGCAATAAGTGTTTGATAAAAGATGATGTGTTCAGATTAACTTCTGTTTCATTGTTGAGATGTTGATGGAGGTTCAATATTTTCCCAAACTTCACAAGATTATGTCTAAAGCCTGATTTTGTAGCAGATATTTAGATTTAAATCTGTACTCTGGTTATTTCTATTTGTCATCATGTAAAGCCGACTATTTATTCAGTTAGCGTAGTTTACTGTTACTGTAGACTTGCTGAAAAAGTTGTTTTAATCTTGGACAAAAATGCTTACGATCATCTGTTTGGACTCATATTACTTGAAGATGTAATTAAAGCAGAACAAAACCGTTTGCATCACAGAAGATCTATCACTTGTTTTTCTACAGTCGCTCACAGTTTGTATAATACTGTGCCAGATGCTGTGGGTTCTGCATGGTTTCTTCTTCTGTGTATGTTTTATTTGTTTATTTATTTTTCTAATCTCCCTCCACAGTTCATTTGCAAATGTTAAATGTTTTAACAAATGCTACAACTGCTCGATGATTTTGCCTTCTATACTCTTAACCTCTGACATCTAATTAGCATGTTGCCCAGAACCCTTTAAATGCTCTTTTCCCTCTTTTTGCAACTTTACAAACACATTTATTAAACATATTTATTATTTATACGTTAATGTAAGCAGCTGTTCACACACATGCGTCAGCGACATTAACAGAAACATTTGTGTTTGCCACGTTGTGTGCTTTCAAACATGTTCTCCCATCCGCCCCGACTCTTTCTTTAGAGATCTCTCTTTTGTGTCTCCAATGTACGGAAGAGGATTAGGGTCACATGTGCATTTTTTAAAAGATCTGACCCGAGTGAACACTTTTTTTTGTTCTGAGGAATAAGCCAGAATTCTGAGAAAAAGATAATTATATATTTTTTCTGAACATCTCAGAATTCTGACTCTTGTTTCAGAATTATAATAAAATACAAATAAATGTCACTTGTGGTCCTTATCCTCTTCCGTCCCAATCAGCGTCTCCAGAGTTAAAACGCCTTCCCATTCGAATGAGTCTTTGGGTTAATCAATGGCGGTAAAATATGGAGGTCAGGGCGTTTGCATACAAGGGCTGTTCTTCGGATTGAGGGATTATGTTCTCCTTACATCTAAAATCATATGATTTGTCTCTTATTGGCCACTAGAGAGTATATGACACAATCTTTATACTACATGTTCCTGTACTTAACAGTAACATTTAAAACAGTGATCACTCTGCATTCATTTGTTATTAACTTACATTTTGACTTTCTTTCTTTTTCATTCTTTATGTAGTTTTCTTCTTCAATTCTTTCTTTCTTTCTTTTTTTTTCTCAGACTGGATACAAAGCCAACTCCAATTCATACCTAAACACTACAGACACATGTAGTGTGTGGTCTAATGTTAACTAATATCTAAACCATTAATAAATACATATATTCCCCTGTATCTCAGGCAGTCGCTGTCAGTGAAATCAGACACTAACAGTGCAGCACAAGTGTTTCTGTGTCAGGGGCCTGATTTTCTTTTAGTGGCTTTTTCTAGTTGTCACATTAACAACGTGCATATATAGTGCCTAGCATACACTTTAGTCCTTGTGTGGGTGGATGTAAAACTATATATTTAAAGTAAGCTCCTCCTAGTACAATCATTTCTGTCAGTTATATCTCACTGCAACACGTGAAGAAGATACAATAAATTGTGTTCCAGTACGGAATGATTCCTCTGCTGTGTGTTTAGTGAACACAAATAAGTTATAATAAGTTTGCAAATTCTTATTAGAAGCAGATCATTACTGCAGTAAAGGCATGTGATGGTGAATGTCTCTGCTTTCTGTTAGACATTATATTACAGTGTGTGTCAAAGTTACAATGGCATATGAATCTCTGTTATAATTGTTTACATACTGACTTATTTAATATAATCTGATTATTTGTCTGCTTATCAAGAAAAATGACACTTCAAACTCAGTAAAAGATGAACATATTTCTCATGCTGAATTTTGGGATTTTTGTTTTGAGTATTTGAATGCTGTCATTATTAAATTTGACATTTTCAAAGCCTCTTATGTGCCCGTTGTAATTTTTTTACATACTGTAACATACTGACATCAATATGTAACACTTGCGTTTCTATTGGCTAACAGTTTAAAACATTGTATGTGATAGGCTAAGGGGCGGGACATCTCTAAGCGGTTGACAACAGAGCCGGCCAGCTAACCAATCAGAGCAGACTGGGCTCTGGTTTCAGACAGAGGGTGAAAAGCAGGCAGTATGAGAAAAATAAAGAGCTTTTTGAACATTAAAGCATGGAGACATGTCCCAGCAGAGGCACAAACTACAAATATGAACCTGAACATTTGCATAGTAGGGCCCCTTTAAGACTAACTTATACATTTGATGTTTGTGAATCTTCGAAAAGCTATCAAGAGAAAGCTTTTGAAAACCATTTTTGCTCTGTCGTACAGAAAGTGGCGACAACGCTTTTTATAAAATGCTAAAACATCTCAGACATCAAACGTTTCTTGAGTCCATTATTCTTTCACACTTAGGTCTTCTTGATAAGTCAAGAGTGGCATTTTGTCTATACTGCTGGTGTGGCAGCCAGTTTTCCCTGCACAGTTCAGATGAACTGAAGATTCAAACACTTGAGTGATTTTTCCAATCAAAGCTTAGTGCACATGATGAATCTTCTGTAGATGTAGTACTTTATCATTTACTGTTTATTTTTGCTACTTTAAAAGTCCAAACTTCCACTTAATCTTATACAAATAAATATCCTAAAGAAGCCCTTTAACATCAAAATAAAAAAGCAAATTCATTGGATCCTAAGTAGGGACTCTGACACGTTTCATCCACGCAGGTCTAGTTCACTGAAGCCTCTCTGAGTCAGGCACCAGATGTGTGTGTACCGTGTGTTTGATGGTTGTTAATCAACCCATCACTGCCTGTCAGTCCGGATATAGGTCAGACAAAGGAAACTCAAACTGACACACACACTGTACCACCTGTCTCTCTCTCTCTCTCTCAAACAGCAGCGCTCCCTCTCCCCAGTGCTCACCCCACTTCCTCTCCCCCGCTGACAGAGAGCTCTTGCCCTACATGCCCCCACCCCCCCAGGACTGTCTGCTCCCCTGAAAGAGCCGCTGAGTGCCGACCCTCCCTGACTCCGAGGGCCAGGAGATGGCAGGGATAGCCCAGGAGCCTGGCAGGTAATCAAAGCGCTCTGAGAGAGAGTGCTGCAGCTATCTGAGAGCGGTTCCAGCTCTGGCAGAAAGCAACCAACACTTCTACTGTGTCCCCTCTCTCATGATCCTGTGGTGGTAATAAAGAGTTTGCTAAAAGCCCCACACTCATATCTCCTCGATGAGATTCACTAACGCAGGCGAGGTGTCATTCTGGGAAATAGCTGCATATGTTGTCGACATTTAATTCAAATGTAATTTAAATGTAAAGCAGACAATACTCCATACTAATATTTCTGCCATGCCAAATAATAATCACTTTCTATTTCTCGTAATGGTGGGTTACAGCGTATCCCAGCATGCTTCAGGTGTAAGACAGGGAAACACCCCCAGTCCTTTTTTTTATTTATCAAAAGGCTAACACAGATATAGAGGCACTGACATTTCAAGCCTCAAGACAACAACATTCACAACATGAAATGCAAAGAAATAACACCAAAATATTGAGATGTATGGTATAAAAGAAAAGGACTTGAGGCTCTCCGATCTGATGTCATGTCTACTGGAGCTTTGCATTATAAACAAAGGGGTACAGTGACTTCTTTTAATTAGTTTGGACATTTTCTGCTTGACAGTGCTTACCCTATACTCAGTACCCCAATTGTCCTGACCTTGAAATAAGTAGCATGA